AGTGCAGCAGAGGCCCTTGCAGGGAGCACAGGATGCAGCCTTTCCGCAGGGGTCTAACCCACAAACCCAGGGAAAAGAAAAAAAAAAAAAAAAAACCCGTATAAAATAATTACAAACAGCATGTCCCTGCAGAGCATTTCGGTTCTGACTCAGCCCCAGCCTGGGCAGGGAAGCGCAGGTGTTCCACGCACGCCGAGCCTGGACCAAACCCTAAAAGACAACAAGGCTGGTGCCAGCGCCCGGCACCCGCAGGGATCGCTTCCCTCCCAGCGTCCCGGCGAAGGGTCGGGGGCTCCGGGAACGCCGTTGCTGCCGACTTTCTGGCAGCAGCAGGAGAAGGGAGCCCGGGAAGGCGGGAAGTCGCTGCAGGGTGGTTTGTTGGAGGGTGTCCTGCAAGGAGAGACCTTGCCGCTCGCTGCCCTGCGAGCAGGAGCAGCAGACCCAAAGGGTCAGGGTGATGCTCAGAGCGTTCTCTGCAGGAATAAAGTGACGCCCTCGATTCAGCAACACATCTCTGATGCCTGACAGATCGCTGGGTGTTGGAAAAAAAAAAAAATAATTGCGTGCTGGCTTTTGAAATGTGAGGGTGGGTAAGGTGAAGCGAAGAGGAACACGTTCATTATACAAAGGCTCAGAGCACCAACCACGGCCGCTGTCCCGACGCAGCACAGGAGAGGAGGCGGCAGGGCGAAGCGCCCGGCGAGGCAGGGGCTGACGCTGCTCTCGCTGCCTTCCCGACGCTCGGCACGGGCAGGGCACAAAGCTTCGCTTGCCTCTGGTGTAACCAACATCCCTTTGGAAAGCAAACCTCTCCAAAGCTCCTCCGCTCCCCTCCCAGCCCAAGCGGGAAGGCAGTCCTGTCCGATAGGGACCGAGGGATGCACAAGGCGTGAGAGGAGAGGTTCTGCTTCCTTACAACTCAGAAATCCGAGTTAACTCCCTTGTGGGCTGACGGGGCTTTTGCCACAGCTATGGATATTTTTATAATCCAGATCTTGAAAGAGAGGAAGAATATGCTTCATGAATTTTTATAAGACCAGCTTCCTTCCTGCTTTTCCTTTCCTTTTTTTTTTTTTTTTTTTCCAAACACTAGCACCAGATGACGAGATCCATTCTTGCCCGCTCTGCATCCCGAATCCCAAAATAACCCCCAAATCCCCATGCTGCGCACGCTCAGCTGAACGCCGCTTTACTTACTCATCGCACTGGGGGCTGCCGGAGCCGGGGGGGCTGCAGCCGCAGGGACGGCACCGCCGGCTGCTCTGCTCCGCGTAGAAGCCCCGGGCACAGCGCTCGCACCGCAGCCCCGCGTAACCTTCCAGGCAGTGGCACTGCCCCGTCACGCCGTCGCATTCGGCCGTGCTGAGGCTCCCCACGGCGCTGCAGTTGCACAGGTCTCCTGCAAAGGTAAAGAGAAGGTGAAACCTTTCTGCCGGGGACACGGCGCCCAGCAAGAACCCGAGCAGGGCCAGGGTCCCCCGCGGCATGGCTGCCTGCCCTTCGCCGCCCATCCGGGGGGGATACACCATCATCGTAAGGATGATGTTTGCTTGAAAGTGTTGAGGTGATGAAAAAAGTATGTTGGGAACACCCTGGGGTTCAAAGCCCTGTGGTTCGTGTTTCAAATCTCTCTTCAAAAGAGCCCAAGCCATGACAGAGAGCCAGAAGATTTAGGCCTTCCAGTACCTAAAGGGGCTCCAGGAGAGCTGGGGAAGGACTTTGTACAAGGGCAAGTAGTGATAGGATGAGGGGTAATGGCTTCAAACTGGAAGAGGGGAGATTTAGATTAGATATTAGGAAGAAATTCTTTCCTGTGCGGGTGGTGAGCCCCTGGGGCAGGTTGCCCCGAGAAGCTGTGGCTGCCCCATCCCTGGAGGTGTTCAAGGCCAGGTTGGACGGGGCTTGGAGCAACCTGGGCTGGTGGGAGGGGTCCCTGCCCAGGGCAGGGGGGGTGGAATGAGATGATCTTCAAGGTCCCTTTCCAACCTAAACCATTCTATGATATGTAGCTGTATAATGTCTGTATGTGTATACACACACACTCTCATGGTTGTATGGTTACGTGACTGCAGGAGGTGACAAGTGCCAGCTGTTGTAATATGAGGATAAATCATCAACAGGTGGCAAAATCACTAATTATAAGATACTCCCTTTCACACCACTGGAACACCCCTGATTTACCGACGGGCTGGTTGTTATGACACAGGACACACACATCACACCTACGTGATGAACCAGCACCAGCATCTTCTGCTCCTGGAGAATCAGTACCGAATCCCGGGAGCGGAGGAGCTTTGGGATGGTGACAGAGGTCCTGACTGCCGCAGCCCAAACTCCCCCAAAATCTGTCCTCAGGGGAGCGCTGAGCACATGGAAACAGCTTTTAACACCAGAGTGGTGAAGCTGGGACAGGACGGAGACCTCCTGGCCACCACCTCAACCACAACGGGCCACCCTCAGCCCCGCGGTGAGTGGGGACAGCTCTGGGGACCCACACATGTGCCTTGGGGACACTCCTTATTCACCGGGGTCAGGGAAAGCATGCACCAAGCAGCTGCTTTTTTAAGAGAGAAGCAAATCTTTCAATCAAGCGCTGAATTCCCAATCCCCCTACACGTTATTTCTCGTAATATTTTAAAGTACCAAACGCACCGAAGAGAACAACCTCTCCCCGGCAATTTGTTTCTGCCAAGAGCTATATCTCCGTTCCTTTATTGCAAAATATTTACTGCCTTAATAATTTAAAGTCTTTTTCTGCCAAGGGTGAATTATAAACAAGGATTATTTGCAGAAATAGTGCATAAAGCATCAGGGGCTTTACGCAACTGCTGGTATTTGTTATTCCCCGAGAAAGGCCAGTATTCAGGGCACTTCACGGAGAGGGGAGACACCATGTCCCCATCCCAAGAAAACTTGACTTAAAGCTCAAATCATGTCAAGAAGACCCAACACTAATGCTCCCCATCAGCGCTATTACTTCTTTTTAACATTAATATTCCATGCTCATGCCCCGATCCAATGGGAAGGACCTCGGTGGGTGCCTGCATCGAACCACACAACACCCAGTGACTGAATAAAGGTTAATTGGTGAATATGTAAGTCATCTGCTGAAATCCTACCACACCGGAGACCTCAGAGTATCTTCGGAAACACAAGCCGTAAGGTCTCCCCATGGCAGCAGCGCCGTAGGGGTTCCCCAGCGCCCATCCTTCCCCGGGAGCAGCCCTCGCCGGCCGACTGCGGCAGAACGGGAGGGAAGATTACAGAGCAGTTTGCCAAACCCATTAAACGAACCTAAATACACGATTATAGTTTGACTCATCAAGGAACGCTACAAGCTTCTCCCCGGAGAAGGACCGTGCGAGGCCGCAGGACCTCTCCAGCCAAGAGCCAGCCAGTGCAGCCCCTCACTCTCAAATTGCCTCCAGCGCTTTCACTTTTCATCTGTTTTCTTCCAAAGCACAAAGAAACCCAAACCGTTTAGCTCCATTACTCTATCAATACATGTGCAGTATCCCCACAGAAGTCATTTTTTACCTGTACACCTGTGAAACTGCACCTAAATTTTCTTCAATCTAAACTAGCAAATAGGACAAACACCTCAAGATCTGCAATTATCCACTTCAGCAGCCACTTCACATAATGAACCAAATTCCCATCTCAATTATCCGAGCGGAACCTTATCGATTTGGGCACTTGGGCTTCTCCCAGCCAACGGGAGCCGTGAAAACTTGTTGAGCAAAAGCACAGTGGCGTTTGTCAAACATGCACCAAAACAAATTTACCTTTCAAAGCTCATGATGTGTGGCGCCATTAGACCTGCTAGGCTTGATTAAGAAAAGAAAATAAGCGTTGTATCAGTTCTAATGGCGATGGGAAGTGCAGAGAAGGCAGGTCCAGCACGGCGGTGATGAGCTGTTCCGTGCAGAGCCCACCCTTGTGCCGCAGGAGCATCACAGCCAGAGCCACCGCCGGCCGCACGCTGAGGCCATCCCGGTGCTCCACCAGCACCAGCCAAGAGCTGAACCACAGCATCACAGACTGGTCAGGGCTGGAATGGCCCTTCTGAAATCATCTAGTCCAACCCCCCTGCCAAAGCAGGGTCACCCAGAGCAGGTTGGACAGGAACGCATCCAGGTGGGTTTTGAATCTCTCCAGAGAAGAAGACTCCACAGCCTCTCTGGGCAGCCTGTGCCAGTGCTCTGCCATCCTCAAAGGAAATAAGTTTTTCCTCATGTTCAGATGGAATTTCCCATGTTCCAGTTTGTGCCCATTGCCGCTTGTCCTGTTGCTGGGCACCACTGAAAAGAGTCTGGCCCCATCCTCTTGCCACCCGCCCTTTAGATATCAATCAGCATTGATGAGATCCCCTCCAGTCGCCCTCTCTCCAGGCTGAACGGCCCCGGGGCTCTCAGCCTTTCCTCAGCAGAGAGATGCTCCAGTCCCCTGAGCATCTTTGTAGCCTCCACTGGACTCTCTCCAGTAGTCCCTTGTCTTTCTTGAAACGCTTTGGCTGGAAAGCAACGGGTGCTAGAAGTCAAATTCCCGTTCAAATGCTGCCATCCTGCCGGCGTGCATGGGATGGGTAAGAGTTCCTCTACGCTGATGGGGACCATCCGTAAGCGTTGTCCCACTCCTGCCCTCTCCATCCAGCCACCCAGCACTGATGGACACGGCTCACCAGGAGCTGTCAGAGCCCAAAAGGACACGGGGGCACAGCCGGTACCTGGGCACATTGCTATGAAAATGAAACAGCCTCGTGGACCGCAAGCACCTCAGTGAGACAGGGCTGTGCTGTAGCAGGTTTTGTGGACTTGATTGATGAACTTGGTTTTGTCGCCGTGCTTGCACTAGGGGAAAGAGAAGGGCTGTCCCCAAATATATTATACTGACAGGAGCGGGGAGAGCTGATGTTGACAGCATATTCCCTTCCAAGAAAATCAGCCACAGCAAGAAAGGAAAAACCAGAAGTCAGAGAAGACTTTCTTGCTGGAAAACGCACCTCACTCTGGCTTGGTCTTGGCAATGGCACCAACTACCAGACTGGGTTTTCCTTCCGGCAACAGGGCCGTTAGTGCTGTGAGACCCTTTAGGAAAACCATACGCTTTCCAAAAACACACACAGCAACTTCTTTCCCCACCCCCCTGCAGATTTTTGCCCATCAAAATTGCACAAAGTCAGGTCAAAACCTGGAGGCAGCTCAGCTTCAGCAGCCGAACTCAACGGCAACGCAGATGCCACCAGCTCCACGCGCGCCGGTTCCCAGGGAGAGCGAGAAATGCTGCAATAATCCAAAATAAGACAGGCAAAAAGCAGCTTTTTGTTGGCAGGCTGGTGGAGCGGCAGCCCCAGCTGCCTCAGCAGTGCCGGGGGAGGCCGGTGGTGCTGCTGGTGGGGGTGCGGAGCTGAGCCCATCTGCTGCGGGAGCCACTGGGAAGCTGCAAAATCACCACCACGAGTGCATGAGAAGGCACCATGGGGCAGGGACAGAAGACATCTCCCAAAAGGGTCCTTTCCTTGTGGGTCCTGCCTCCCCCAAATCACCCCAGAGCTTTTTGGGGAGGGCCGGTGGCCCACTTCAGGGGAGCAGCATCACACGAGGTCGTTCATCCCCCCTCCCAGCTCACGCGTCCATCTGGCTGATGCAACCCAAAAATGCCCTAAAGCCCCTTTGGTTGGGCAGTGGAGAAGAAGCAGACAGCAGCATTAAAATCCATTGCCTAGCGCAGCGTCGAGGTTTGACATGATGATGTACCAGACTATGAAAACCCGAGGCTTAATTTAAAGACACGTTGTTGTCCTGATGGCAGCCGGGTTCGAGGAAGCGAGAACAGTCCACAGCCAGAACAGGAAAAAGGTAACAAACATCGACCTCAGACTCTAAGAACACAGCAAAGATGATGAGCGCTACAGAAGAAGATTAGGGAACATTATTCTGGCTCCTGGCCAGATCCTGGGGTTTTGGAGCCTTTGTATTTCTCAAGCAAGTGTTTTGCTTTTGAAGGTAACCTTCAAAAACTCCTCACCGAGAGCTTTTGCAAACGCAAAGGAACGATCACGAGTGGATGAACCCCGGAGCTGCCCCGCACTGGGATGCTCAGCCGTGGCTGGAGGTTGGGATAACACCATCGGCAACGGGAGCCAAGGGCAAAGACCGCTCAGGGATGGGGCGCTGGTCCAAGCTCCAACTCGCAGCTCTCCCCGACTTTCCATAGTCACTCACCCTCGCTCTGCCTCAGTTTCCCCACCCGCCCCCCAGGGCCTCTGCTTCTCTGCCTCTGCAGAGAACACATCCAGGTTCCCCTTCCTTCCCCACAAAGCACCGTACAGCAGCTCAAGCCCTTGGCTATCGGTGATAAAAACCACCACCTTTGCTCGTGAAGGTGTTGACAGGCTTTAATTAATCAACAGCCCGGTGACGTTCTGAGATCCCAGAACAGAGGCACTGTAAAAGTGCGTATCACTGCCACGTGTTACTCCTTCAAGCACAAAACCCAAACACCGCTCCCTTCACCAGCGACATTTTAA